GAAAAAGAAAAAAAAAAGACTTGGTTAGCGCCACTGGTTATGCATTTTGTTGACTTTAGGTGTTGGAATAAGTTAGCAAATTGGATAGAAGAGTAGCTAGATGGAAGAAAGCAGAGGGTTGTTACAAATGGAGTTCAGTCAAACTGGATTAATGTCACAAGTGGGGTATCTCAGGGCTCAGTCTTAGGACCTTTGCTCTTTTTGATTTACATCAATGACATAGATGAAGGGATAGTCAATAAATTACTTAAATTTGCAGATGATTTTAAGGTCTTGGGTATTGCTAGCTGTGAAGAGGATACTGCTGATTTACAAAAGGATTTAGATCATTTAGTGTGTTAGGTAAATAAATGGTAGATGGGTTTTAATTATAATAAATGCAAGATAATGCAAGTGGGCTATCATAATTTGAATTATAATTTGGATGGGAATAACCTTAATAGTGTTATGAAGGAAAGGGATCTTGGTGTAACAGTCAATCAGTCTCTAAAGCCATCCAAGCAGTGTGCTGTTCCTAGTGGCAAATAGGATTTTAGGTTGTATCTATAGAAATACTGAATACAAGTCTACAGAGGTCATATTTTCATTGTACAAGTCACTGGTTAGGCCAAATTTGGAATACTGTGTTCAGTCTTGGGCTCCTTACCTGGGGAAGGACATTGAATTGTTGGAAACAGTTCAGAGAAGGGTTACTAGAATGGTGCCTGGGATGGAGGGGTTGCCATACAATGAGAGGCTGAAATCTCTCAAATTGTTTTCTTTTGAAAAAAAAAAGTTATGGGAGATCTTATTGAGGTGTTTAAGATTGTAAAGGGAATTGATAATGTTGATGTATCACATTTTTTCATACTTAACAATGAGAATAGTAAGACTAGGGGACACAAATATAAATTTTGGGAAGGTAGAAGTCATCTTCAGCTAAAACGATTTCATTTTTCTAACAGGGTGGTTGGCCTTAGGAATGGGTTGCCTTCAGATGTTATAGAGGCAGTGAATTTAAGAAAAAGCTTGATACGTATATGAATGAAAAAGGCTGGTTTTTATTTATTTTTTTTTAATCATTTGAATTTAGTTTTGAAGATGGAACAGCCGAGATGGACCAATAGGTACCATGTTGTCCCAAAATATTATGTTATAAGATGTCTAACTATGATTATTAGAAATATTTCATTATTTTTCTGTCAATTTCAATAACAGAACTATTTTAGTTAGGGTACAGTAATTATATTTTTGGTCTATGATTCTAAAACTCAAGCTGTTACTTGAGTGGTTTAAAGTACAATTTTTATGTAATAGTAGTATATGGAGAAAGTTGTATTAATATGGATTAGATATGCAATAACAATGTGATTAATGAAACAATTTTTATATGATTATAATGACATTTGTAAAAATATTGAGCATAGCCTAACATCTTTTTTTGGTGTCAGTTAGTTTCTATTACTTATCACAATGGTGTAAGCAGAAAACATGCCAGAATTGGAGAAATTATGACCAAAGTCTATAAATAATTAAATAAATGTTAGTCAAAAATTTTTAAAGATTGAAACTTAATTAAAAGATTAACCAAATTTCTAAGAATGTTCTCTAAAAAAAGAAAAAAGAAAATCTTCACTGTTTAACTAAGCATCTTAACATTCTTTGGTGCATATAATGTTGTCTGAACACATGCATAGCTATGGAGCTAGATTTGAATCATCACATAAAAAGTTATGTGAGAATGGATATTATATGATAAAGTTCATGTAGAGACTTTTAAAGATTCTTCTGTGCCAACTTCAAGATCTGGCTGCTTCCAAGTTTTTGTCATGTTATGATGTATTATTGAATTCTGTATTATGAAGCATTACAAGTCAATTATTGTTCCATTTAGTCTAGGTAAAAGTGAACATCATACAGTGAATGAAGAATGAGGTGTCAGAATCTGACACAATATAAAACAATGTCACAGTACACACACAAATATATGTTTGTGTGTGAACTGAGAACCCAGGTCTATGACATTATCTGTATTATGTATCAGGATAGTTAAGACATCGATCCCATTCAGGGCTTGAACCCATGCAGGAAGAATGCAAGGTTCAGAGGCTGGTGCTCTACCGACTGAACTACACGGCTCAAGTCCCATGCGTATCATCTCCACTCTGATTGTTACAACAGCTATGAAGCTGTAGGAAGTAAATATTGATTCTCATTAATTTCTATGAAATAAATCAGCATTGTTCCAAATAAAATCATCTATGTACAGATCTCTCATTAGAATGTGCACATACACTTGTTTTAAGTATATGAAGCAAACAAGCTGTGATTCTTGTATGTAAAGCCTGCTATAAAACTGATAGAAAAGAAACCAAAACCATATACTACTTACAGTCGCTTGATTCAGTACCAGAACATGAATTCCTCTTCCTTTATTATCTTCAGCATCCTCTAGAATCTATACCAAATGATTAAAAAAAAAAAAAACATAGCAAAATTACCTTACGATGAAATTCAAGAGCATCAAAATTCGAATCTTAGGTTGAATTTGCATACAAATTTATGTTACAATAAAAACTAAAAAAGGCAAAAATTTCTATTAATACAAAGTGTGCATGAAAAATTACATTTTGAAGAACTTCAAAAAATTATATACTGTATTTTTCTATCACTATCTATCAATCTATCTTACTTTTTGTTATACAACACATACTTATAGAATATAAGTATTGGAAATTATTTTGGAAAAAGTGAATAAAATGAGTATGAAATGCAAATATTATTGGATTAATTCCTCTTTAAGGTATCAATATAAGCTGCATCAAAATTGAATCATGTGTTCATAGCTTACAATGTGATTGGCTGTCATTCAATCAAATAAACAGTAGAACATGATTCCCAACAGTATTGTAGAGAATGTACTCATAGCTGCTAGGACAGAAATGCCAAATGCTAAATGTAGAGAATTTTTGGCTGGTGATGGTTACACAACAGATTAGGCAAAAGTTCATGTTTCAGTAGGAGCTATATAAAAAACTCTAGAGATGGCATGTGAAACTAGTATGATTGATAACAGAAGTGGTCGAGGTAGAAAACCCAAACTCTTCAAAAGTGATATTATGTAAATAAGGGTATGTTCTGTACATAACGCTCAACAATACAGTAGGGATATTGCTAGTGACCATGTATAAGTACAGGTGAGGATGTTACTTTGAGAATGGTAATGTACACATTAGCACAAAGTGGCTTCAATGAATAGCTACTCAAAAACCACTGCTTAGAGTAAATAAAAAAAACAAAAGGCTGATGTAGACATCAGACTTCAAACAATGGATAAGATTAATACAAATTTGTCTTGTTTACAAACAAACAGCAGTAGTTTGTTAGATGGCAAAGAGGAGAGTGGTATCAAAGTCAGCCTACAACATATACAGTGAAATATATGAGTTTGTTGGTTTGTTTTTGAATTTTGTGCAAAGCTACACGAGGGCTATCTGCACTAGCCGTCCCTAATTTAGCAGTATAA